AAAAAACTGAATTCAACAACAAAAGTCCTGCCATTGATTAGAGTATTTTTGTCTGACTGAAATAAAAAACCCAATGATACCACATCACAGTAATTCTCTCTGAACTCAGACTTCTATGACAAAGTAATAGACATCAAAATCCAGTGGGATGTAAGATGATAGCGTAAACAAATCCGTGTTTTTTATAAGAAAAAAAAAGTTATCCTATTAAATTTACCTAAACAAGAGAGAAGAATCGAGTGTAAAATAGATAAGGACACCATATTTTAAAACCAAAAAAGGACAGAAGTTATTTTGGGCAATATACTCTTTTTCTTCTTCATTGATAAATTGTTGAATATTGCTAACCATATCCTGGGCTGTATCAAAAGAAGCCTGGCCAGCAGGTTGGGGTAGGTGATTTCTGCCTCTCTGCTCCACCCTCACGAGACCCTACCTGGAGTACTGTGTCCAGCTCTGGCACCCCCAACATAAGGACCAGTTGAGGTGGGTCCAGAGGAGGCCACAGAGATAATCAGAGGGCTGGAGCACCTCTCCTACCAAGACAGGCTGGAGAAGAGAAGGCTCTGGGGAGACCTTAGAGCAGCCTTCCAGTACCTCAAAAGAGAGACTTTTCACACACAAGGGACAAGGGGGAATGGCTTCAAATTAAAAGAGGAGAAGTTTAGATTAGATATGAGGAAGAAATTCTTTGCTGTGAGGGTGGTAAGAAACAGGTTGCCCAGAGAAGTTGTGGATGCCCCATCCCTGGAAGTGTTCAAGGCCAGGTTGGATGGGACTTTGAGCATCCTGGTCTATGCTCAACATACGTGGCAGGTGCATGTATCCAAGGTACATGGCAGGAGGGTTGGAACTAGGTGATCTTTAAGGTCCCTTCCCACACAAACCATTATATGATTCTATAAACCCTGAGCACAGTTAAAAAGGACAGCAATAATCCCTTCTTGCTGAAACACGGTAACATGTTCAGTATTCCTTATTCAGGTAATGAATATTGGAGATGTCAGAAAAACCAGCACTGCAGGCATTGAAAGCCTATTGATTTTTTTATCATAGTTGAAACATTGTAGAACACCAACAAAGCAGAATAAATGTATTTGGAAACCTTTCATTTTTATTTATTTTTCACGTAGGAACATGTTTATTGCTGTTCCTTTTATAGATTTTCGCTGCAAAAACATCTGTGAATTTTAGTTCCCTCATCTAACAGAGTAAAAATGCTTTGAGTGTTTTCTGGTTTTCTTTTTAATGTGTTATAAATATAAAAGTCTGCTTGTGGTTTTTGAGACCATTTCTAGGCTGATGCATGGTAAAAAGACTGTCAAAACATGTACAATTTCTTTAGCAGAGAAACACACTACAAGCTGTGAAAGCCTGAATGAACTGTAGGCTGTATCAGAATACGATAGAGTGGAAGCTTTATCCTAAAGGAAGATCTTATCAAAAGAAGTAATAGAAATATTTGAAAGGCACAGGACATGTGCACCATCACACCCCCAAAAACCCTACAACAAACTCCCCTTCCCCCCTCAAAAAAACCCAAACCAACAAAAAAAACCAAACCCTAAAAGTCAGAAATTATAAGGACTGCAGCAAAATTTCAATTAAATATTTGAGACCAAAGAAATCGGAAAAATTCAATTTTCAGACACTAACTTTCAGTATCTAACAGGGCAGCAATAGTAAATAGGGGCAAATTAACGGTTTTTAAAGCCAGCAAAAGAGGACCTTCTTAGACCAGCTGAAATAGATAATTATGATGCGATAACATCATTCCTCTGATTTCCTTTGATGTAAATGTTCTAGCAAGACAAAAGCCCTGAAGAAAACACCAATCATGCCTATATAAATACATAAAACTTCTCAAATTCAGGCAGGGTGGTTATATGGCTACAATCTAAAAATTTTTTTTCAAGTGCTCTTCTTTGCAACAAACAAAATACCTAATGAAGTAAAAGAAATGTGACAAAATGTAAGCATAAAATAATAGCTTTTAAGAATTTTCTTTGTGTTTAGAAAGAATTTTTCTCCATTTTAAAGAAGGTGGAATGTTGACAGTGGAAAATCTATGCACAACTCAGCTCTTATCTCACTATTAAAGGATCAGTGATGTAAACCAAATACTGCTTAACCTTCTTCTTCATGATCCACATTTCTTGCATTATGCAGAAGAGCAATATATCTGCTAACTCCTGTACACTCCTTCTATATAAAAGCCAGCAGCAATATTCCTCAGTACCCTTTAAGAACAAGCAGTGAATTTATCATATCTGCTTGTAATGCCCTTTGGGACTCTTCAGGAAGAAAGGCACAGTAAATGTAAGCTCATTAGCATCATTAACTCCTTTTATACACCAGCTGAGCTCAGAAGGAACAAATGGGAGAAAAAATATAAGGGCAAAAAAGGTTAAATATATTTGCCATTCTCTTCCCGGTAGGTATTGTTAGTTTTTAACATTCAAAGATACCTTTATTGGATGAAACTTATTTATTAGGAAGTTTTAAAATTAGCTTGATCATTTGCTTCCATGAGATGACACTTACGTTGCTAAGGAAGAAGAAGAAAATGGCTTGACTTATGTTAAGGGGCATGCAACACAGCAGTGCCTAACTTATTACACGTTCTCCTAAGACTTAAGGTTCCCACAGGTACACCTCACCTACATGTGTGAGAGAACAGTCTGAGGAAAATGAAAAACTTTTGGTTTGTCCTGTTTGTGTGTTTTCTGGGTTACTGTCATGGCCAGGAATGACACTTGGAGTTGAACGGGACAGGACTCACCAGCTTTAGACAGTGAAAGATCACATTTTTCATCCAAAATAGTAGCACCTGCAGTTAGGATTTTATACCACACATTGGACATCACTACCCGATAAATGGCCTCAGGAAGACACTTTTCTCTCTCTGTTGACAGCAAGGTCAGCCCAGTGAGTACCTTCATGTACAGCCTACCTCTCCGACAGCTAGGTGAACTTGTACAGCTATATTTTTAATATCACCAAGAATTAAAAATTCATACAAAAGAATCCTTCTGACACTACAGCTTGATTCAATCTCACTGAGAAAAAATGGTACTAATCTTGCCTCTGTTGTTGCAGCCAAGAGACTGGGTTTATGTGTATATGAGACATGTATTTTCTGTTACTGTTGATTTCCATAATTTTCTTTGTTGATCATTAATACAAAAAAGATACAACCTGCAAGCACATCTCAGGTCCTTGGGATCTCAAGATTTTAGAATCTGGCCCACAAGAATTTACAGGACTATTAGATCCACAGTCCTGATTTCAGTCCCTAAACCAGGGAGCTCTGGCATCTTTTACTAAATTTCTGATCTTTACATCAAATGGGTTAAGCTTGAGGGGGGAAAGAATGCTTCTCAAACTGCTTTATGGGAAACGTTTTAAACTTTTCAACTGGTTGGGCATAAGTTGCAAGAAAATTCTTAAAAATGGAAACAAAGGCGATGGAGAATCCTTAAGGGTACTTCTATAACATTTACTTGCATATTCGGCAAGCTGTCACCTGAATGAAGTAAAAATCAGAGGAACAACAGGAAGTTTATCTGACTGTATAACGCCAAGAAACAAATCCACACACAAACGTCCAAAGCAGGAGAGAAATCCGTGGAGACGCTTCTGATGCTGTTCTGCTGCGGGCCGATGTTTCCTTCAGCTCAGTCTGGTGCTTCATGTTGCGCTCTCACCCGCCGCCCTCCTCCCTCTCTCGTCGTGGCCTCTGCCCCTGCAGCGCGGCTCCTGTGCCGCCCCGACGCCGACAGCTTCCCACACTGCCTCCCCCCCATCCACCCACCCACCCGCGATTCGTGCAGGGCCCAGACTCCCGGTACCGCCGCAGGGCGCTCCGCTCTCCTATCGCTCTCCTCGGCCCCGCTGGCACCCGCGGGCCGAGGTGGGCAGCCAGACCCTGACACCGGGGCGAGCCGGCAGAGACAGAGCAGGCCGGCAGCAGGGTCTCACGGACCGGCTCTGGGGGCGGGCGGGGCGGGAAGGGCACGGCTGGCCCGGCCCCGGCCCCTCCCCTCGCCCCGGCTCCCCCGGCGGGCGGGCGGTGCCTCGGCCCCGCGGCGCCGCTGGGCGGCGCTTGCGCACTGCGGAGGCCGCCCTGCCTGCCCGCCTCCCCGGCGCGCCCCGGCGGAGCCGCGCTGAGCGCAGCGGAGCTTCACCGGGCTGAGCGGGGCCGCGGCCGCGGGGAGCCGGAGCAGAGCCTGCTGAAGACAAGCCTCTGCCTGCCCGGGCGGCCGTGGCTGCCGCCCCGCTTCTCCTGTTGCCCGCACGACTGGGAGGCAGGAGCAGCCCCGAGGGGTCGGTCCCGATGCTGCGCCTTCCCGGCGCTGGCAGCAACTTTGCCGCTCCGGCCGCGCTCGCTGCTCCCTGCCGCCGTGCGAGCGTTCGGAGGGTGCAGTGACCGATCCCAGCAAGAGTTTTGCAAAGCTCTGATACACCCTGAGCTGCGCGCAACAACCTGTGTTCTCCGAGGTGCTGGAGAGAAGGAATTATGTGTTCGCGACCGCCCGGCGAGGGGAGGTGTCTTCCTCAAGGGACCTTTCCTCACCCATAGAGCTGCCGGCTGCCCGCGACGGCGGGAGGACGCAAATGGGCAGAACGAGGCCGGTGTGGCTGCTGGCGAGGAGGCAGCGGTCCCGGGAAAGGGCGGAGCGCCGGGGGGGGGTCCTCCCGGCGCTGCACTTGCCACATTAACTCGGCGCGTCGGAGACGGCGACACAACTTTCTGGGTCTGCCCCGGGTGGCGGCGAGAAGAGCCTCTTCTCCGCTCTGCTCGCCGCACCCCCAGCGGACCCCAGCGGCAGCGGGAGCCGCGCTCCGGCGGCAGCAGAGTCGCGGTTGCTCCCGCTCTGGCCCCGGCGAGGAGGGCTGACCCTGGGAGCCGGGCGGGCATGTCTTTCGCTTCCAGCCCCGCTGAGCGGGGCGCACGCCGCCTCTGAAGGGGAGCGTGTGAGCCCCGCCGCCTCCCGGCCATGCGGCCCCTCCGCGCTCCCCTCGCCTTGCTCTGCCAGGTGCTGAGCGCCTGGGCTGCCTGCGCCCTCGCCCCGGCTCCCGTCGCGGCCGCTGGGCCGCCGGCGCCCCCGCAGCGCGCCCGCTCGCAGCCAGCCCCGACGCCCCTCGCCCCGGGCCGGCGGGCGGCCGCGGCGCTCCCGGGGCGCGGAGCGCTCCCTCCCGGGACCGGCGGAGCGGAGGGACCGGGCGGCAGCTGCGCTCCCCACGGGGCGGCGGGGGCCGGGCGGCGGCGGGCGCGGAGCAGCGATCCCGGAGCCGGCGCGGCGGCGGGGAGGGGCGGGGCGGGCGGGCCCCGCTGGCTGCCCCTGAACGGTTCGGCAGGCGGCGAGGGCAGCGCCGGGGGCCGCGGGAACGCCACGGGGCGCCGCGCCCGCCTCCGCAACCCCTTCTACCCGCTGACCGAGGAGTCCTACGGCGCCTACGCCGTCATGTGCCTCTCCATAGTGATCTTTGGCATCGGCATCATGGGCAACATGGCAGTGATGTGCATCGTCTGCCACAACTACTACATGCGGAGCATCTCCAACTCTCTGCTGGCCAACCTGGCCTTCTGGGACTTCCTCATCGTCTTCTTCTGCCTGCCGCTGGTCATCTTCCAGGAGCTCACCAAGAAGTGGCTCCTAGAAGACTTCTCCTGCAAAATCGTCCCGTACATCGAGGTAATGGCTGTGGGTGGGGATGCGCGGCCCCGGGCGTTTTCGCGCAGTCCCCGGGCGGACTGGCCGCGCTCGCCCGCACGAGGGAACGCGAGTCCCGAGCTCCTCTCTCCGCTGCTCCCTCGCCGCAAACCTGACCTGTCGGTCATTGCTGTCGGCCCGGGGACGTCTCAGTGCGGCGTGGTCTGGGTTTCACGGGCGCTCCTGCGGCAGAGCGGGGCCCCGGCACGGCCCCGCAGTCATCGGAGGCGGCAGTGGCCGCCGCGGTCCAGCGGCACCGGGATTTCTGTGGCTCAAGCTGAGCGCGTCCAGCGCTTCCTGACACTCGCGAGAGTTCTGCCAAACTTTCCTTGCTCCCAGTGATCCTGTAAGGCATCCTCTCAGAATTAGGAGGAATTTCAACTTTTTTGCTTTGCTGTTTTCCTAAAGTCGAGTGAATCAGGAAAGCGGATGGAGGGAATGAGTGGAGTAGCTTGTAAGAAAGTGATTGTAAAAAGCACCATCAGCAGGATGTATGGGCTCTTAATTTATATTTCAGCGTTCAAATTGCACATTTATTTAGCTTTTTCTTTTTCTTTTTTTTTCTCTTCCCTTTAAAAAAAAATACCTCAGCTCCATTTAAACTGCAGCTTCTTGGCAGTTGTTCAAAGGCTCTGTCAGAGAAGCTCCCAGACAGCTGGCCGGAGTCCTGCCGGCAGCGCTCAGGTTGTCTGCTTTATTTACTGGAACTGAACACTAAGGCTTGTTGGTAGGATGGTAGCCTGTAGTTCTGGCTGGCTCTGCTGTATTCCCAAAACCTTATGTTCAACATTATTCTGTAACTGAAAGCTGATGAAATAACTGTTGATCCTCTTGTCCTAAAAACGAGATATTAGAGAAAAAACAAACAAAAACCTAGACAAAAAGTCAACACCCCATCCTCCAAAAAATGAATAACGCAACCTAGTATTAATACAGTGTATCAGTTTCAGCAGAACATTGTTACAGAGTAACACACAGTTAACTTTCAAGTGGTGTTTTTAAGAAAGTGTTGAGAAAGATGACCTGTGTAGCCACTAAATTGTCATTGCTTCTTTCGTATGTGATACAGTTTATTACTGGTGATATTGAACAAAGGGTGGAGCTGTGCTACGCTTAGATGAATTCTAGGCTGGTAGTATACCACTGAGTTTGAAAAACTCAGAGTACACTTAATCAATTTGCATTTAAGAAGACATGGTGCAGTAAATATGTGTTTATTGAGAAACTGAAAGGATCTTCTAAAATTTCTGAATTGGATTAGTGGTGTTTCAAGAGTAACCATTTCAATTACAGTAGATACAGTAGTTTGCGTTTCAAGGACTTTCCTACAGCCACATTTCACGCTTCCTAACATTTTTTGGTGCATCCACATACAAAATAGAAGTAATTCTTTGTAATGCCCATTCTAATTAAAGATCAGTAATTTAAATGATTTGCATGACCACACTGTTCTTCAAACTTAGTTGCTTATGCTGTGCCTGGCTTTGGGCAGTAGAGAGTTTGTCAAACTGAAAGCAGTTTAGCTGAAATGTAGTTGCTGAAATTCAAAACTGTAATCCTGAAAAATGTTCATCTGTCTACTGTGCTCCTTTATACTTCAATATAACCTTATTTTTTCACTTAAAAGTTCTGTAGATGTCTAGAGTTAAAGTCTTATTCAGGAACTGGCACCAGTCCAGTTGGGATGGACCAGTAGCTTGGTCTCTGTCTTAGGCTTAATTATTACTGGTGTCTATAAGTGAAGCATTTTCCTTGTCCCTAAGGTAGTATAATTAACGTAGATCTAAGGTGCAGATATAAAAAAATACAGCCTTGGGGTTCTGCGTTGCTCCCAGAATTGTATATTTTTTATTCAGTGGTCATTAAATATAATATGTATGTAAAGTATATTCATCACCTGAGAAAGTGTACGTAAAAGGCTGGATTTCCCCCTCTATAAATTGTAAGAATGAGTGGCAGATACTGAATGCTACTAGTGGATCATGACTCTTCATGGTTTGCCTTGAGCTTGGCAAGAAGGAAACTATCCTGTAAATCAGAATTTGACCCTGCTGAGGCAGAGAAGGCAGTTAGAGCAAAGGTTCACCACTTTCCAAGTGTTTTCTAACCTCACAGGCATTACACAGTGACACTGACACCACCAGGAGCAATACAGATGGGGAGCATGTCATGAAATCCACCCATGTATATGAGCAGCTGCTGTTCCTTGCTCTGGATTGTTCACAGGAGTACACTCATCCAGCAGCTGAACAACACTGTCTTTTCCCTTGTTACTCACCTGGGCAGGCTCATCCGCTTCTCACACAATGGGAGAAGGATGAAAGGAAAGCTGTAGACAGCTATCTTCAGGAGAGGTTTCCAGACCTTCGTGAAATACAAATAGAAGCATATTCCTGCAGATGGACGAATTTTAAGCTGTCTTTGTTTTCTCTAAGTTTGCCTAGTGTTTGGTTCTTCTAAGTGTCTCTTAGTTCCATGATTTGCATCTCTTTTTGTTACACATCAGTTCGCCTCATCCACTGTTTAGTGAGCTGTATGTCTCACCCAGATTTGTATATCCAGAAATATCTTACTTTCAAGCATCAAAGACCCTTATTGGCTTGAGCCCTCTGTCATACCAGCTTGTACTTTCAGAACTAGGGAACAGGGGATGTCTGATTATCCAGATCAAGTGATGCAGTGATCACAGCATTTTAACATAATTCAGACATGCTTTGTTTTATGTCAAAGGTTTCAAGTGACTCCGGTGAGATACCTTGAGTTTTCTTTGTTTAAACCTCTTGAGGCCAACTGGTTTTTATTTGTGCTGTTTAATGGGTACTGTGCAGAATTTCAACAAAGCATCTGTTGCCAGTGATAACACATATGCACACACAGTCTGGGGAAAATGTTTTATGGTATCTTCATGTACATTAGTATAGGTAAAAGTTGAGTTTCCAGCAGTGGAAGGTCTCCACAATATTTAATTTAAAGCGCAGTTTTCCTAATAAATACCTAATAAAGATCTGTGACAAGTGCATTAAGTAGTCATTTCAGCCATATATTGTATCACAGTTTGTTCATTCTAACCCGCAGGTTTGAGTGTACTCAGAGGGAACTGAAAAGAGTTTTAGAATAACTAATGCAGCTACTCTGCCCATAAGGATGTGTGGAGATGTGCTTTTCCTCTACAGTTTTAATCCTCTGCTGAACTGTTCTTAAAATTTTGCCACTTTTCTGCAGATGGCTCGGAAGTTTAGTTTTTGTGCATGTCTGAAGTGTTTACGTGCACACTGTGCTTATTTTGTCTTTCATATCATTTTCTCAGCATCACTCAGAATCAGGAGATATGGGGTAAATCAGAATACAAAGACAATGACTTTGGCTGATACCTGCTGATGTGGGACCCTTTTCATTTTGTTTAAGCACACACAGTCTTTTGAGCAATGTAGTTCCCTACTTACAGATTTATTCTAGGCCTTAATAGAAAGAAGTGGATGTAGTGGATGTAGACAAAATCTGTACTGGTACTGTGCTTCTGAATATTTTACAGCTGTTAGTACTGTGAAGTAGAATTGCTATTTTTTTTATTTTAATTCTGGAAGGTGGTAATGAAGAGATTAAATAAGTTGTTTAAGGCCCAGAACAGCTTGCTCAATATGACAAATGTCAGCTAGGACTAGAAAGTATCTTTTGGAAGCTTGCTTAATTTGTGTGCATTCCGCTTTTGGGGATTACACTGGAAGCTCGATGAGTTTGGAGGGGTCATTGGAAGTAGGCATCCCATTCTATGCCAGCAAATTGCATCCAGCTACTTATAGTGGAGTAAAGATTTAGAACTGGGGAATAGTCTAGAGTGAGGGCTTGGAGAGGCTGATTTACTGCCCTGTGCAGTCCAGCACAGACCAAGAAGTTGCTGAGGCCAGTAATGGTACACAGCTCTCTGCTCAGTTCTGGTAAATATGAGCCCCTCTGCCTTTCTCATACACCTCACAAAGAAGAGAAAGACAAAGTTTGTGGTGTCTTCATATGGACCATATCATGCATATGAGATGGGCATGGCTCTGGAGCAGTCTGACAGGGAAAGCCTCTGAAAAAGGATGCTCAGTCTCTGCATGTGCTTTTGGCAATCAATTTGTGGCATCACTCCTGTTTCTGATGGGTAACTTCCAGCTCAGGAAAGCTATCACAATTAGTATTCTTAGTGGAAAGCATAGGGATTGATTTGGCCTGGAATATGAATTACTCTCTTTCCCTGGAGCTGACTCTCCAAGGCAATTTGAGGTGAGGCTTTTTCCTCTTTCTCTGTTTTACTTGACAGAGGTAAGTTAGAAGCACAGAAAAAGTGGCCATTCTCTGCCTGTTCCAAAGCTGTCAGAAGAGATCTCTATTTTAAGTTTTACTTTGGGGAAGCAAATATGTTTTTTATGGGAGTATATAAAAGCTGTGTATTTTCTGTCTTTTCTGTGTCTTTTGATGTGCGGCATCTTCTTTGTGTCTCTGCTTTGACTCTAGTCAGAGCTATGCTCCTGAACCTCCAGTGAGTCCTCTGGGTCATAGGCAAAGATACTCAGAGATGTTTGCAGTTTCAAAGCTTCTTCATGAGAGTTTTCTAGGGCAATGGCTACATGTGTCTTTTACTGAGCAGAATAACTTCAGCACTTATCACACAATAAATAATTATTTAAAGCAGAAGTGTTAATATATCTCTGCCCTTTAGGTATTAATGGCACAATGATAGTGTCTGCCATGTTGGTTGTTCTGTTAGTCTTTCTTTCCTCTGCAAACCCTGTCTGCAGGGTCTTCTAAGTTGTCCATAAAAATTTGCCTTTGGCTAAACTTTGCATATGGCATTTCAGCATGAAAATGAATTTGTGTCAGAGTAGGTCTAAAATTGGGTCAGTAATATTTAAGTTACATATGTGTGGAGAGGAAAAGGCAGCATCTGCTATCCCAGCATCAATGACTGCTCTGAGCATTGGGATGTCATTTCTCCATATGAC